AATGTAAGAGAGACACATTGATTGGCTGCCTCCCACAGGAGCCCCGACAGGGCCAGAGATCAAATCTGCAACCCAATTACTTGTCCTTGACCAGGAATTGAACCTGAGACCTTTCTGTGCAAAGGCTTACAATCTAACCACTGAACAACACTGGCTAGGGCAATGATGCTTTTTGTAAAAAAAAAAAAAAACCTTTTTAAGGGCTTCAATTTTTTTTCTTTCTTATTCATCAATTTCTATTTAGTATTTTAAAAGAGGTAAAAGAAATGAATAATACCTAGTGCATATACAGGGTGGAACAAAAGTAGGTTTACAGTTGTGGCTACGGGAGACGCAGTTTATTCTTATATGATTATTAATTATTGTATTATTTTCTGTACAACCAACTGTAAATCTACTTTTGCCCCACCTTGTATTTACAAAACACGTTTGTAACATAATGCTTTATGTCCCCTGGCTCTTATCACAAATACATTGTGTAACCAAGTTATTATTACTGTTATTAGTCTCTAACTGCAATGACTGTAATAATAGCATTAACCAAATACATTATTACAAAAGCAATTGTTCTAGAACAGGGGTTCTCAACCTGTGGGTCGCGACCCCTTTGGCAGTCGAACGACCCTTCCACAGGGGTCGCCTAAGACCATCCTGCATATCAGATATTTACATTACGATTCATAACAGTAGCAACATTACAGTTATGAAGTAGCAACAAAAATAATTTTATGGTTGGGTCACAACATGAGAAACTGTATTTAAAGGGCCAGAAGGTTGAGAACCACTGCTCTAGAAACTCTGCATCTTGTCTCAGCAGTGTGCATTCTACGGATACAGAGCTGAGACACAGACTCATTTGGCTTGCGATTGGAATTTTTAAAAAATTTTCCTCAAGAACCCCAAAAACAAATTACATGAAAAAGTATGTGCTGTTTGGTAGCATAAGAACATGGTTTATTTAGTAAAAGTCCATATAAAAAATAAATGCTTTGATGTAAAAATTAGGTAAATAATTTTGTTTTCCTAAAGGACAATAATAAACATACGGAAAACATTATGAGGAAAAAGCACATTAAGCTAAAAGTCTATTAAGTTTAAGAGAAAAAAGGCGCATAATGTCTCTTCAGGAGAAAGTTAAATAATTCCTATTCTGCTTTGTCTCTGTGCTACCCATTAACATGGTACTGTTATTTGTGCTGTGGGATCTTATTTGTTTTACTCTGTTTTTACCCAATTGTGGAGACTAGAATCATTTGAGTGGAGAAAAATAGAGACTGTGTAACTGTTTGGTGGGTAAGTAGATTAAACAATTTGTTCACTGGTGTTTTACTTAGGTACTGGGAGTACATAGAAGGGTGAAGCTCGATTTTTACATAAAAAATTAAGACAAGTATACTGGGCCAAATGCGTTTCTTCTGTTCCTAACATGTTGTGCCTCTTCTCACCTCATTTTCTTGCTCTTTTGGTTTTGAGTGGTAATAAGTATCCCACACTGAAATCTATAGTCTTAGAATTATTTCTCTATATTAAATGAATCTGGTAATTATGAATTCTTGACTTCCATATAACCATCTACCTACAGTCCTATGTCAGATGTATATGCCATTAAAAATACAATAACCTGTAAACCCAAGAAAAATTCCTCTACTGCCCTCTACTCCACGGTTAGTATGTGCTTCCCAGACTGAGGGGGGATGTTCTATTTATAACTCCCTTTTGTTTCCTACCATGTGGCCAAGTTTCCACTTATTACATGTCTGCTTGCCTTAATATTAACATCCAGTTTGGAGCACTGTAAACTGTTTCTCAGCCCCTAAATTAAAGCAAATGATATCCACTCCACATCCTACACCAATTTTGCTAGAAGCCACTTCAAAGATTCCATTTTAGAAAATGAAGTACGGCCACTGTTTCCTGAAGCCAAAGTTGGCCCTGTTCATAATGAAGTGAAACTTTCTCTGATTTCCTTTCTACTGAAACACTGACAGTTTATTCTACGACACTTTTCCCTCCCCAACTAGAAGTAAACCTGGTTATTTTGCAGTTGTTGTTGCTGTTACTGGGGGGCGGGATAGGAGATGAGGAAAAGACCCTGCCTTCCTCTGTGGTGCTTGGGACAGTACACCGTGTGCTTACAATGACATTTCTGGACCACATTTGGCCATCTTTAACAACATAAAAGTCCCCAAATGTTTAAAGACTGTCTGAGCTACATACAGTTTCAAAGAGAGCAGCAGTGTATATTTCTTTCTCACGTTGTCACTGGTTTATTATGTGAAAGTAGATGGCAGAAAAGACAAACAAAAACAACCTCTATAACTCTAAATTTTAGCTTCCTCATCAGATCTGTACTCTTTGACCATGTCCTCAATTGTTCACTCATACTAGCCTCTCTGGCTTAATGTCATGTTGCTTATTACACAAGCCACTGTCACCCTCTTTACCTATTTAAGAGGTACCGGCAAACTGGCCCCTCTCCCGCCCTCCATCTATTCAGAGAGTTTGGCACATAGCAAAAGAACAGAAAATACTTACAGACGCTTATAGTCACACTTCCTACTAACCATCACAGGAGCTGCTGAAGAGTATCCACCCCGCAAGCGCATGCACACCCACACACACGCATGTGCATGCACATGCACTCAAGCACCAGTTGGGTTTGAACTGAAGATGCATTCTTTCCGAAAAGGTTCTTCGTACCTGAAGGTGCTACTAACCCCCAGGCTTTTCAAAGTAATTTACCTTCTCGAATCTTTCAAATTCTGCAGCAATGTGAATCTGAACTCTAAACCCACATGGGGGTGGGGGTGGGGGTCAAGGAATATGAAGGACAGAGGGAGAGTTTGTATTTCTCCTCCACTCAGAGCCAAGGCCATGAGAATAAATGGAATGAATGCGTTTGCCTTCTTCCTGGCTGATCCTTTGACTGAGGTGTAGTCTCTTGTGGATCTCAGCCTCATACAGGTTCTCACCCATATTCCTCACCTTGCTTGGGCCCTAGGTTGTGTCATGCCCTGCTGTGCAGCCGTTACAGGATGGGAAAATGCCCCAGGATTTCAGTCCTTATCTCTCTAAACAGAAACTATGTAATTCAACTAATCCAGCAAATGTTATTAAAGGTTAGCTTCTCCTATGAATATTTGTCTTCTTTCCATTCCTCAGACAAGATTCTCCCTTCTCCCAAGTCCTTTTGCCCAAATGGTGTTTCATCTGCTTGAAGCATTCTTTTCATAGACTGGAGCACATGTGTGGATGCACATGCACATACACACACATACACACACATACACACACATACACACACACCTTCTGGGGGTTAGTTCCTTCTCATTCTTTAGATCTGATTTTAAACATTACTCCCTCAGATGGGCCTTCCCGAGCTCTTAAAGTCACAAGATGGCATTGGCAATACTTTGCACTTGGTCATTTTCAAGAGGCAGACTGCCCAGAAGCAGAAGTTTGGGTTCCCAGGTTTTTGCACTGTAGCCCTGCCTGTGTCCCAAAGCACTAAACTATCATTTATTATGCAATAATGCAGGAATAAAATATTACCCAGTGTGTTGCCACATAGAGGACATATTCATACAGAGAAATGAGAGGGAGAGAGAAAGAGAGACAGAGACAGAGAGAGCGGCGGGCGGACAGAGACAGGCTGAGACACACCTCTGAAGAACTCGCTGGTCAGGAACACTTAATAAGTTACAGTCGCAGCTGATCACAAAATCCCGAAGTGATGCCTAGTTCTCTATTGTTTTAGAAACTAAAATACCTAGAGAAGGAAAACTGTAAAAATTCCCACGCCCCAAATTCCATGGGATTATGATTTTCTCTCCTAATTCAATGCAATGTTCCTTGCCTGCTTCCAGCGGATAAATAAGGATTTGTGCACATATGCTACAAAGTCAAAATAAGCCCTTGTGTGGCTTGATCTTCACATGGTTTTTTAACTTCTGCCAAGTGACTGTAGCCTTTAGGACTGTGACATTAAGCTTTACTTACTGATTTTCTGCTCCGACAAAGAACTTTCATAGAGTCTTATCTTTAGTCGTCAAAATCTTGTGTTCTAAGAACTTCAAATGAATCTATTTTTAGCCGAGTTTAAGAAACTAACAGTTTTGAAACAATACCCTTAAAATGCTATTTATATCCATTCTCGTAAATGTATTCAAAATAACTGAGTTTTTATTAGAATTTAATAAACACTTTTTTAATCCTCCAACTTTCTAGATTTCTTCATTTTAATCATCTAACACAGTGGTTCTCAACCTTCCTAATGCCACGACCCTTTAATACAGTTCCTCATGTGTGGTGACCCCCAATTTCATTGTTACAAATTGAACATAATTAAAGCATAGTGATTAATCACAAAAACAATATGTAATTATATATGTGTTTTCCGATGGTCTTAGGCGGCCCCTGTGAAAGGGTCGTTCGACCCCCAAAGGGGTCGCGACCCACAGGTTGAGAACCACTGATAACAGAATATACTTGACAAAAACCAGAGGTTCTTTCAAAAGTATGCTTGCCAACATCAGGAAAACACCTTAAACAAAATATTCTACATTTCAGCACCACATCTTCTCATCATCGAGCACCAAATTATCAAAAAGAACATTAGTTACATGATTACAACAGTACACTCTACTATCTTTGTGCTTTGCACTCCTCAAAACGCTATCCTATTTCAACCTATTGAACTTTATATCTGGAAGCACATGGAAGTTGAAAAAAGCAGAAGCAGTTTTAAGAGGATTAATACCTTCAGAAAAACAAATTCAGGAATTCTATCAAATCAAATGAACAGTAATAAGAGATATCATTGCTCTAAAAAAACCACACACAAAAACATGTGCAATTGACATACCTGTTGAGTGTGTGTCATTTCCTGTTTAAATATAAACCCACAGCCATTTAAGAATGTTATCTTATTGAAGTTCTTAGCATGTTTATATTACAAGTAAGAATACACACCTTACATACACACAAATAACACAAAATACCTGAAGGGCCGTGAGGATATTGGCTAAGGCTTGTCCGTATGTGTCATGGCAGTGAACAGCAAGAGCAGTGGGTGGGATTTCCTTTATGACACTTTCCAACATTCTCCTCATGCTTCCTGGAGTTCCCACTCCAATAGTGTCTCCCAGAGAGATCTCATAGCAGCCCATGCCATACAATCTCTTAGATACCTACGGGCACAATTGAAGAGCTTGTAAAACAATGGAAACAAACAGACCCAAACCTGTTGTTCCTCAGCAAACATCATCTGGAGGTAAACACCACAACTAAGATTGTGATGTATCCATGGGAAACATTTTAATTTTCTGATTCATTTCCTTGTTCATTAAATTCTAAGCATTATATAAAGCTCTGAATGGCATTAGTGTAATTATCTATATTTTAATATTCAAGATTAATATTCAAGTTTAATATTTTAATATTCAAGTTTGTCTTAGAGTCATAACTATTTATTCACATGTTCCATTAGGAATTATAAACTACAATTTCAACTATGGCAGGCTTACTTGTCTCAACTTTTTCTTTAATCAAAGGGAAGCATTACAAATTTACTTTGGAGTAGCATTTCTTAAGGAGTTAGATGAGGTGTCAAGAAATATCAATACCAGTTTCAGCTCTGTCACTCAATAGCTTTATAATTGGTAGAGGATCAAAATATTTCTGGCTTAATTTTTCTGTCTCATAAATGGACACACATATAATATGATCTTTCATTTCTTGACTCAAGTGCTAAGAAGTGATATTATAAAGAGATCTACTGCAAGGTCCCTTCAAACTGAATGACTAACTTTACTTTGCAGGACAATAAGAATTGACATGAAGGCAGCATGGAATGTTAACAAAGGCATGGGTTCCGGAACAAGACAGGCCTGGATCTAAATCTCAGCTGTCATCCATGTTAGTCAGGTGATTTGGGAAGAAAATTAAACTTTATAAACTTCAGTCTCTAACACCCTTACTTCACATATTTTCTAATCCTTTTTTTTAATTTTTAAGAATTACAATAACAAAGATGGTGTCAATAATGACATATTTGGCTGTGAAAATGAAATGGGAAAATATATAAATAACTTTGTACACAATCTGGCACATGGTCACTCATTTATTATGTATTTCTTCAGTGCCATTGCTTGCTAGGCACTGTGCTAGGTGCTAGGATATAATAGGGAGACAAATATTGAGATGGCTCATGCTGTTATAGAGCCTGGAGTCAAGTGAGGACAGACCTTAATCAATTCCATTTGGAAATGTGTAATTACAGCTAAAATAAGAATTTTTAAACAAAGAAACAGGATTCTAAGAGCATGTGGCAAGAGAAATTAACCTAGATCTGTCAGGCAGCAAGGACCCAAGTGACAGCTTAAGATAAAGTATGCATTAACTTGTTGACAAGGTTGAGAAGGAAGAGTATGAAAAGAAGGCTCCAGGTCGAATATCAAATGCAGAAGCAAGTGTGTTGTGGGAAGCTGACATATAAAATACATTCCAGGAAAGATAAAAGTGAAATGCAAAGGACAGGGTGAGGAGAAAGCAACAACCAAAAGGGAATGAAGCTACTCAAAGCTGGAGAGGTAGGCATGGGGCAGACCCTACGGGCCTTGCGAATCCACCAAGTTTAGAATTTTGATTGAGGATTCTATCATAAGAGCACTAGAAAGCCATGGCAGAATTTGGGTTAGTAGTGATATAATCAGATTTGATTTTCAGAAGGAAATATCAAAAACAGAATGGAGGGTACTCAGAAGATTATTATTGGATGAAAACTCAGATTTTAAAAAAGCATAATGCT